TCTGGCTTTGGAAATTTTTATTTTCCCTGCTACCAGCGTCAGCCTCATTTTCTCTGCACTGCGCTGATGAGTCCACAAAGGATGGAACAGCATGCTGTCTGCAGATTGAGTACATGTACATACATACAGACAGGCAGGCATGAATTACTACAATTGATCACAGTACTCGGCTCTCGTAGAAGGACATCATCATCACCTGACACATGTTGTACATACCTTTCTCAACAGAGCAGCGCACACTGCAGAGTCGACACCGCCACTAACCAAAACCTACAAGTTATAGCAAACAACAGAACAAAACCATTCATTATTGCAGACATGCATTGCACAACATTCGCAAAGACATGCACACAACAAAGAAGAAGATCCTTCGAATGCACTGATACGATATGTATTATAATACACAGTGAACAAGGCTCAGCATTTATGGTAAGATGATATCTGGATAACTTTACCGACGGCTCTCCTTACCAACACTTTGCTGTCACCAATGATGCTCTGCACTTCTGCAATACAACTTCCCTGGCGACTGTTCATGGTGAAGTTTCCACTGCAGCCAGCAACCTGGTAGGGGAAAGAACATGGATGTACACAATCGACGACTTCAGAGAGGGTGCATATTATACATGTAGCTGACCTCACATGAGGAGCATTTCTTTTTCTCTACAAAAGAATATACCGTTGCAGCTACTGCAGGTGACGCTATCGTCCAGAGATTAGTCCAAAATAGTAGTTAAATTACACTCTAGCAGTCGTCAGACAGCAAAAGATGGGAGAGACACTGTTGCTACTCAATGGTTTACTCACTAAAGGCTACAGGTAGCCATCAGACAACAACAATGATGAAGTCAAGCTGGATGCCAATAGGTGTATCCCATCAGTAAAGTTGGGAATCGCAGAAGCGGTGACAAGTAGAGCAATTTGGCGTGATATGCTTCAATGATGCCCTGGCACATATTTCAGCAACATGAGCATTGAAGGTGACACACTACACAACAAAGTGCCAAATTTAATAGCATGCTCAGGCACCAAACAATGCTTAGGTTGCGCAAGTACTTGTTCTCATGGTGGCATATTGGCACCAGTTGACTCCGCATACTCATAGATGAGTGCCTGGGTGATTTGGTGAATGCCAGTAATCTACAAGGAAGCATAGCCTCTTGCTCAAGGCTCTGTAGGTAGCGCCAACCATTTGATGTTGCATGTTTCAGATTCCCTTTGTTATTCTTGCTGCGCATGCACATCGATAACCGCATGCTATCGGGCGGTACAGGTGGTGGCTGTGGTAGCATTGCTCGAATGGCTTTACTGTTAGGAATGTGTTCGTAACGACGTTCTTGTGTGTACCAGACGTGACAGTCATTCTACCGACATTACTCTCTGTGAGATATGCCTTGCTCAGTGGACACATTTACTGGAAGAATACAACATGTGTAAGGTAAAACAAGCATTATAATAAATTAATAATTTCTATTGCTATACACTATACACCGCCGAGTCTGCTATCCAAGATAGTGTTCCATAAAACTGACATGTGCATCTAGCGGAAATGGACATGTTGAAGGTAAACCACATACAGTACTTACCTCAAAAAGGAAGTTCCTCAGGATAGTCTTTCCATTTACTGACAGGTCGACTTCTGGATGAAACTGAACTCCGATAAGGGGCAGTTGCTCATGCTCAATAGCTGAACAGGGTTTAAACAGAAACAGACACAACGACATCTATACACACATACAGACCATGCTGACAGAAGAGTACAGTGGAACTCACGTAGTACGGACCCGGCTAAGACGTAGACTTGCAATCACAGGCCTTCTTTGAGGCACGGATTTTCCTCCATTGGTGAACATACAAATCAATTCGGACTACCTGTACTCAACTAAGACGTGAAAAGCGTGGAGGTGTACTGTTTAGACTGTCCCTTGATGTGCTGGCCTCTCAACCATGCTTCGCCGTGTTTTAGCACTCTTGACAGGCCACTTTGACAGTTGAAAACACGAACGCTGCAATCAGACTGATCCGCGACCTGCCGCCTGGCCGTGCAACAGCAAAATTCAGTTGCGGAGTGTGGACACTGCACCTCCATTGCATTCCGAAAATAATTTCGAGCATTTTCGACCCACTAGTACTACATGTGTTTTGTGGTGCTCAGCCCAAGTGAAGAAAAGAAGTACATCGAATACATGTACTGTTAATCTGGCCCCCAATCGGTACGTCTTAGAGTTCCACTGTACTGGCTATTCAGCACTCGTACACAAACAGTATCAACATTGCTAGCTCATACAGTTGGTACAAGCACAAGTGGAAGTTCGGACACAAGCAAAGGCATAGATGCAGGAGTAATAAAACATTGCTTTTACAGGTACGGAAAAGCGACAATCGCAACATGAAGGCATACCGCAAAACACTTCACAAGCCATGTCCTTCCAAACACAAGGGTACAAGTACTATAGCCACTGTGATTGTACTGTACTGGACAAGGTGCCATCCTTGCATGTCCTGCATTGACTAGCGAGTAACTCAGTTGCATGGTACATCTATGTATGACTATGACTGTACTACGTACTGCTGACAGGTACATGCCCTGCCGTGCTTGTGCTAGAACCATAGATGTGCATTGTTTGGTGTTCTATGTAGGTGTAGGTATCGCTATTCCACCAGATGGTCGCCAGATTTCCCTCCTTGTGACGACCCCTTAGAAATATAGTTGATTATGGTTGATTAGGTCTGCTGATGTTCTTGCCGACACATTGTGTAATGTAGCTTTCTATTCCTGGTCAGCCTGCTGTCTGTTATGTGCAAGCACCGTACTGATCCTAGCCTAAGCTCCGTAGTCCATGACATGATATAATGCATAACATATCCATGAAAGATTAGTTTTTGAGTTAGACTCTCCAGACGACGTTGTGTGAGCGAGCCAGGTCCGTAGTATTCTACTACAGCTTTTGTGGTGCCGAAACCCGGGAACACAAAGCCTCTACCCCAGTCCGGCCGTGTCTAGATTACCGAGCACTGAACGGTGTCATCAAATCCAATCCGGGGACCGAGGCGCCCGTTTGCGCCGATAAACTGCGGAAGTGGCGCATGGCCGGCGATCAAGAGTGCAAGCTAATCGACATCAGGAAGGCCTATCTCCAGGTTCATGTAGACCCGTCGCTCGCCCGCTACCAGGTTGTCGTTTGGCGAGAAAAGCTGTACGTGATGACGAGGATGGGCTTCGGCCTGTCCGTCGCGCCCAAGGTGATGGACATCATCGTCCGCTGGGTGACCCGAGAGTGGCAGGATGTTGATAGCTACGTCGATGATGTGCTCGTTCCGGGAGCGAAAGAGCAAGCTGTGACGTCCGCTCTTCACCGCTACGGTCTGCCGACCAAGCCCGCAGAACCGCTCACCGCGGCCAGAGTTCTCGGTCTCCAACTGTCAAAGGAAAGTGACGGCACGGTCAACTGGGCTCCTAGAGGAGGTGTCAACCTTGGCTTCGAACAGCCGCTGACGAAGCGTGAGGTCTTCAAGTGGACGGGACGCCTGACTAGCCACTACCCAGTGTGCTCGTGGCTCCGCCCGGCATGTGCGTGGTTGAAGCGGCAGGCCTGCTCAGCTGATGGCTGGGATGACGCCGTGCCAGAAGCGGTCGTCAGGTGCTGCGCAGAGCTGGCCGACATGGTCCGGGAGTCAGACCCTGCAAGAGGTGCGTGGCGTGTTCCATCGCTGGATAGCGACGGCTGGACCGTGTTCTGCGACGCGTCGGACGTCGCCATTGGAGCTTCCCTGCATCACGATGGTACTACGATCGAAGACTGCTCGTGGCTGCGCGAGCCACGTGACCACAAACGCATTAACATTGCCGAGCTGGACGCCGTCTTAAGGGCGCTAACACTCGCCGCGGAGTACAAGGTGGAGAAGGTGACGTTAGTGACTGACTCGAAGGCGGTTGCAGGCTGGGTGTCGCAGGTCCTCGGGAACGTCAGACGAGTCAGGGTCACTGGCCTCCACAAGCTTCTCGTTGTGCGCCGTCTGGACATCATTGAAGACCTAGTCGCAACGGCTGGCCTGAAGGTAACAGTTGGCTGGGTACCGACGAACGAGAATGTCGCTGACAGACTGACCCGTGTCCCAAAGAAGTGGCTGCAAATAGCTCGCGTTCCCGAGAGCGATGAATCTCCGGAAGTTGCCGCGTCCATGGCAATGAAGCAGCCGGCGACCGTCATTGGCTGTGACGACGTCTGTGATGCCCAGCGGAAGTGCCCGTTGATTCAGACGCTGGTCAGTGCTATCGAGAGTGACAGCGAGATTCAGCACGCCACCTACCGGAAGATTCGTGAACAGCTCGTCATCAAGGACGGCCAGCTGAGCCGCACGCTCAAGCTGCCTGCACTCGGCGTTGTCACTGTGCCGATCGTTCCGGAGTGCCTTGAGCACAGCGTTCTCGAGTCGGCCCACGTGATGTCCGGGCATGCCAGCTGGAGTGTGATGTACGACATGCTCCGCGCACGTTGCTTCTTCCCCAGCATGGCGGCTAGGTGCCGGGAGTATTGTGACCAGTGCCGACAGTGTGCAGCCGCTAGCAGCCACGCAGGACCCGCAGCGCCGCCGACGCAGCCAGACTTGCCTGGGCGGCCGTGGAGTGTCGTTCAGATCGACACACTTCACCTGGGAGAGGAGAAATCCGGTCAGTACCACTGCGTGTTGGTGTGCGTGGATGTGTTTACGAAGTGGGTTGAGGCAATCCCTCTCAGGCGGCACGATGCGATCAGTGTTGCAGAAGCGCTGACCAGCCTCTGCTGCCGTTGGGGCCCGCCAGACGAAGTCCGTATGGACAATGGCTCCGAGTTCAAGAACGCCGTTGTCCGAGCTCTCTTCGTACGGTTCGGCGTGCGTGTGAAGACAGGGGCCGTACGTCACCCGCAGTCGCAGGGAGGTGTCGAGAGGGCAAACAGGACCATCATCACGCTGATGCGGAAGGTCCTCACAGAAGCAGCAGATTGGAAAACTGAGCTGGATCTGCTGCTCTACTACTACCGCACGAGGCCACACACCACGACAGCCATACCGCCGATGCTGGCCATGTGTTCATGGCAGCCGCGCCAGCTGATCATCGAGGCTGAGGCACCAGAAGCCCTACTGAGTGAGTGGGTTGACCGAGTTGGCGAGACAGCAGCAAGGGTCCGCGACCACGTGGAGGTGGAGCTTGCTGCTACGACTCCGGAGAAGCCAATCACCAAGTTCGAGGCACCCTACACAGAGGGGCAACGTGTGATGCTGAAACAGCCTGGCCGGCGACGCAAGTTGACTCCGCCATACCAGTGCGGCTGGAAAGTGAAGAAGATCATTGCGCCGTCGACAGTAGTCATCACCAGAGATGATGGCGGGGAGAAAGTCGTGAACATCAACCTTCTCAAGCCTGACGTACGACACCCACAGAGTGCCAAGCAGGATGGTGCTCCGCGTCCAGGAGCGACGGAGCAGGCGCACACGAGCGCCGACGATGGGCGTGACGACGGTGATGGTGAGATGTGGCTTGACCAGCCGGAGCCAGCGGACGACGACGACGACGATCGCCCTGCACCGGCTTATGACCTACGTGACCGTGGAACCTTGGCGCGTCCAGCTAGATACAATGGCTAGAGTCGAGTGGAGATGTCACCTAGGAGAGGGGTGTGATTGTACTGTACTGGACAAGGTGCCATCCTTGCATGTCCTGCATTGACTAGCGAGTAACTCAGTTGCATGGTACATCTATGTATGAATATGACTGTACTACGTACTGCTGACAGGTACATGCCCTGCCGTGCTTGTGCTAGAACCATAGATGTGCATTGTTTGGTGTTCTATGTAGGTGTAGGTATCGCTATTCCACCAGATGGTCGCCAGATTTCCCTCCTTGTGACGACCCCTTAGAAATATAGTTGATTATGGTTGATTAGGTCTGCTGATGTTCTTGCCGACACATTGTGTAATGTAGCTTTCTATTCCTGGTCAGCCTGCTGTCTGTTATGTGCAAGCACCGTACTGATCCTAGCCTAAGCTCCGTAGTCCATGACATGATATAATGCATAACATATCCATGAAAGATTAGTTTTTGAGTTAGACTCTCCAGACGACGTTGTGTGAGCGAGCCAGGTCCGTAGTATTCTACTACACCACTACTAGTGCTGTAGTACTCAACTGCAAAGAATACAATGTACCTGCCACAATAGCTCCAGAGTTGGCAATGGGATGAAAACCTTGTGCAATATCACCAACGGAGTCACCGTGAGACATCAGCAAAGCTTGTTCACTCTCCATGCCCCTGCAGCCAGACACATGCATACGAGAGAAAACGAATGATGATTCAACCATGCAGCTCAATGTAACATTAACCCCAATGGTTCTTCCCAAACAAAGGACAAGGAATGCTTCAACTAGGCATGCATATGTGTACCCTCCCCCCCCCCCCCCCCACACACACACATACACACTTTCTCTCTGTCTTCTCTTTCTGCCTCTATCTGCCTGTCTGTCTCTCTCCCTCTCTCTTCGCACATGCACACATCCCACCCACCCCAACCGACACCTCCACCCATGCCCGTACGTATACATACGCATACTGTAAAAGCAGAAATTTTCGGTGGTGTTTTATTTTCGGTAACTTCGGTGCCGACAGGTTTTACCGAAAATAAAACGCACCGAAAATTTCGGTACAACCGATACTGTATACATGTAGTACTAGCACACTTACCTGGAGAACGGGTTTTACCGAAAATTTCCCTCTACCGAACCGCCGATTTTGGAGAATACCGAAAATATTACACCACCGAAAATTTCTGCTTTTACAGTACAGACTGCCTGCCAAGGATGATCGAACTGCTAAAACGTTCAATGATCACACAGGCATCCAGGAGTTCAAGATTTGTGTGCCCAGTCTTACTAATGTAAACTGAGAAAACTGAGAAACTACAGTACCCCGGCTTATCCCAGAGCGGAAGCTTGAAACACAGTGTGTATTTCAAGATGACCCAGTCATAATACCCTAGCCATCCTACTTGGAAATGGATTTGAAATATAAACAGGGGGCGCGTGAAAGGTTTCGGGTGTACTGTACATATGTCAGACTATGGGTGCGTGTGAGTGTATTTGTGCGAGAGTGCTATTGAAATGAGTCAAAAGATACACAAGAACAAACTGCATCAAGCGAACATACTTGAACAACTTCGCTTTCGGCTCCACTGAAATGGTGAACTGGCCATCCTCTCTGGTTCCACCTTTCACCACATTTCCGCCAAACTCCATGTTCATGAGCTGAGTACAGAAATCGCAGCACAAACAGGAATAAACGCAATAAATTCTCCTACAACAAATTCCCATCCTCATTGTAAAAAAAGTGTCCTCTGAATTGCAGCAAAGTGTCTCTACAAGAACAATAAATTGCGAGTTGTTCTTATTTGTGAAGTGTAAGGTTGAAAGCATGCAGTCAAATGGTCACTAGGTCCGAAAATTGTGTCGATATTAAATTTTGCGAGCCGCTATACCCAAGGTCGTTATTCACAAGGTTGACTGTATGAACACTCCTCCCAGCATTGGTAACAAGTAGTACCCTACTTGCATGCTCTGCGATTCATGAGGTTATTGCTATGAAAATTGGCATTAAAAATTACCTGCAGGAAGTAGCAGAATATCATTATATTTTACTAATCCCTGGTAAAAAATAAAGTGCCTGATTTATAGAGATGCATCAGTGCAGACAAAGAAGTAGAACTTCCTAAAGCCCTGTTGTTCTTCTCACCTGCATCCCGTAACAAATTCCAAGGATAGGTAGGCCAGAGCGGAAAAGCTCTGGATGTACACGCGGCGCATCGTCAGCATACACACTGCCAGGACCTCCGGAGATGAGGACTCCCCTGCAGTAACAACATGTTGGCAATGACATGATAGACAACATGTACCGTACTTTCCCGATTGCAAATCGCGCTCGCTTATAAGTCGCACCCCCATTTTCAGGTCTGAACCATATGTGTCCATTATAATCACTTCAGTAGTAAGTCATGCTCGACTGTAAGTCCCCCACTTGTTGTCCCTGAACTTTAGTGTAAAAGGTGGGATGTATATTCGAGGAAATACGGCACTTGGGCTAGTGCAATCACTTATACAGTGACACTTCAGTATATTTAAGAGAAACACACACACACACACACACACACACACACACACAAACTAAAAGGCGGGGGGGGGGGGGGAAGGGGCATGCCGACCTTTGCACCTTTGCATTCAGTCTCATTTATAGGTCTGGTCAAGTGTACACTGGTATTATTATACTATGTGTATGTTTTCAGGGGGAGGAATTGGGGTCTGGGAAAGGTCGCTCCGTACACCTGCGGTGAATTGCGGCAATTACGGATGGCTCCAGCATATTGCAGGGAAGAAAATTAATGATTTTTCAGAAAATCCAGTACATTCAGTATTCTTGCACATCCACATTGGTTGTGTCCGTGGAAATTTCAAAGCCACCACCAACTCATTGTGATGGCTTCTGCTGCCACTACAAATGAGAGACTCACTGATGTAATCAAATAACAAATTCACCGACTTACTTGAATCCACGACTACGCAACTCTTCTGGGCTCATGTCCAAAGGAAGCATCTCTGTCTCCACACACAACTCGCGTACTTTACGATCAATGACCTAAAAACAGAGCAGCACCAACAACAAGAAGCAGTGATGATGATGGATAACAACCACAAGTACAATGACGATAATACCAACACCAACACCAGCAGTGGTGATGATGATGACCACAGGTACAATGACAATGGCCACGACAACACCAGCAAGGGCAGCAGTGGTGAAGACGATAAAGACCAATAGTACAATGATGATAAAGACGACAATCTTGTACGCGTGTGGTTGGGGATGACGAGAACGGTCAACTGGTCAGTAGTGCAGTGCTACCAAGATCAATGGAGTGCAGTACTTCTACTGGTATCACAATGGTATGTATCATGATTAGGGGTGAAACGATTAGTTCGAATATTCGAGTATTCGTTCGAAAATTTCAAACGAGCGAGTATTCGAAATGTTGCACTCGATAGTTTTTTTTTTTTTTTTTTTTTTTAAAGTATTGGCATTGTATTTTTCAAAAACTTTTGTTGTACCGCCGGTCCACTGGTACGCATGCGTTATGCATGGGTTTGAGTCAGTATTTTAAGACTTGGACGATGCGATCACTACGGCAAGTAACGTTCTGAGATATACCGTAAAGTACCGTTGATCCGCCCCCACGCCATGTCGCTTCCCAGCTGGGTTTTCGGCAGGGGGCGGGAATTAGATCAAGGCTGTCAAGTGCAGTACGATGTACAACAACGTAGAGGATCAGACTCAATGTGCTGGATTGTGCACATTTTCATCCTGGATTGGCAAGTATTGTGTACAGCAGTGCATGCGTCGGTTCAACATCGTATTTTGAACTATTTTCGTTGTATACGCCGAAGTCGCTTCACAAGGAGAAAATCGACAGGGGGCGGGAATTAGAAAGGGGGCGGATCAACGGTACTTTACGGTAAAAGTACTGATGAAAATCGTTACTTTACACTCTGTACAAGACATTGGCGACTTTTGTTCTATGTTCACAGATAATTTCTTCCGAATTGGTCGAGAACTCGCAAATCTAGTGCTTTTGAATTTTGATAAAATACTCGAAATAATCGGATACTCGATCGAATACTGTAAATCAACTAAATTTCGCTGGCGATTTAATTTCGCTGATTTCGCCGCTGGGTACCAACCGGCCAAAGTAACTCGCAGGCCAAAATTTGTCATAGAGGCGAATGATGCATTATTGAGCCATCGCTGCATGTGAGGGCAACAAATACCAATCGATTTCTTTTTTGAAAACCCAAATCGGCCAAAGTTAAATGACGGCCAAAAGTTTCCTTTCGAGATCGGCCAAAGTTTGTCATCGGCCAAAATTTGTTGATTCACAGTATTATGAACGAGTGATCGATTGGTCAAAATAGATACTCGTTTCACCCCTAATCATGATGGCAATGATAATTATAGCCAACTATTTTCCATGTCCCTGTTAAAACCCATACAAATTGACCCTTTCTGGTGAACTGTTTTTCGCTTATAAGACTTAATTATAACGAACCATATCTGGTAGAGACGTACGCAAACCAAGTGCACTCGTGCACACACGACAGGCATGACGTCTGGATGGTATGGTGTGAGTGAATTTCTGTTATAAAGAACTTCGAGCATAAAGAACTAGTTCTCGTGCGCATTAGTGCTTGTTATGTCAAGCTGAGTCAACCGTACGCGCATTTCCAGCCACTTCTAACTACATGTACCGTAAAGTACCATTGATCCCCCCCCCCCCCCCCACGCCATGTCGCTTCCCAGCTGGGTTTTCGGCAGGGGGCGGGAATTAGATCAAGGCTGTCAAGTGCAGTACGATGTACAACAACTTGGAGGATGAGACTCGATGTGCTGGATTGTGCACATTTTCATCCTGGATTGGTACAAATCGTGTACAGCAGTGCATGCGGCGGTTCAACATTGTATTTCGTTGTATACGCCGCAGTCGCTTCAGAGGTAGAAAACCGACCGGGGGCAGGAATTAGAGAGGGGGCGGATCAACAGTACTTTACGGTACACGTGCACGCGCCGTTCAAAATTCGAATTATCAGACATTCTGATGCGAGAAATATGATGACTGAAAGGTAGGTTCTGGAAAAGAATTCTAATGAAGTGTACAAATAAGCATTCCCGTATTTCAACTCCCCAGATCCAGCCACTCCCATCCACCAGGCACCCTTTGGACCCACTTAAAAAAGTAAAGCTTGCACATTCACTTTACCACCGGCTTACGATTATGTTGCGAAACACAACCAGTTTAGAGAAGTTTCGCCAGTGCCAGGCCACCGCCATGCCTGATTATACCAGGGTGGCAGGTGCAGCGCCATAAACGGCAAGGGAGAGGTGGTAAGTCTCACGACCATGCCCGATACGGGGCGAACCTCGTTGTTACCCTCACTCCTCCAAATAGTGAGTACCCAGTTGACTGTGGGCATCAGCGCAGTTCATTGCATGTAAAGTGGTTCACGCATGCATCACCACATTTGTTAGCACAGTACACGCTCCCTGCTCCCAGCGCGGATTTCGAACTCGGGACCTTGTGGCTCGCAGGCAAGCCCAAAACCACTCGGCCAAAGCACTGACCCATTGATTGGCATAAAAGCATTTCCTTGAATGCAAACAGAATGAATGTTGTGAGTTGCCGGCAGTGCCTGGATAAGGGGAGTTCTACGGCATCTGAATTAGGCTATATGCCCAATATGAAAATTCCACTACTTATAGTGTAAATAAACAAATAAATATGTCAGAGGACGTCTGAAGAATTTTTTTATTAAGTTATAGTGCACCTCATCCCACAGGGATAGGGGCGTGTGTATGTATTTGATTTTCAAATATTTCAAGTATAATGATACATTTCAAAGCTTGTGTGAGTCAGTCAGAATTTTCTGGATCCACAGGAATGTCACCCCTCCCAGGGATCAAGGCGCAGGTGCAGCCTTCTTACTCATTATCATGCGCTGGTTCTATGTGAAAGAGTGGAGTAACAAAAGTGCACTGTTGACCTTGCTGTAGTTAGTTTCTTGTACGTAAGAGCTTTAACCCATGACGCCACTGCAATTATTTCTTCTTCGATTGACCCATTGATTCAATTGAGAATCAAAATAATAATAACAAGATCAAGATGCATTGATGCGACAATACCTTGCCATACTGCGATCCTGCATCGAGGATCGCAACGCGGTCCACTTCACTGGCACGGTTCTCCATTCTCGCCGAAGAAGATCAGCAACTCGTAGTACAGAACCTCCTGAAGCCTGTATTTCCACCACTACAAATACGAAAATTGTCTGAGTTTGACACGTTTCGCACAACCAAAAATTCCACTCTGACATGATGTAATGTGTGAAAAAAATTGAAAACAAAAATTTGCTGAAACTGGAAAATGGGCGCTAACGCGGCACATGCACAGCCACGGAAAAAAATTGAAAAAGGGGGGCATTGCTCAAATTTTACCGATTATTCCACAAAAATTGCCAATAATTCCCGTTTAAAAAATCACACCGATAATTCCCGAAAATAATTATGCCGGCACATTCCGCGGAGGCCTAGCCACACACAGTCACAGGTAAGCATAAGGCCGGCCGGAAGCTCAGTCCACGTGGCACGTGACCTCGCGCCACGCGGAACGCGGAACGGCAAAAATCCGGTCCTTGCTTTTTATCGTGTACGTTTTGGCTGAACGTGTGTCATTGTATGACTGTAATATTCTAATAATACAGTACCGAACAGCTCCATTTCTCTACCATTCGCTTCTCACCCTGCACGACGACAGAACTATTTTCCGTACCAGCTTTCAGTATCCCGACGAGTGATGCAAGTATTACTTTGGTTGTAGTGTTGGGTAAAAGTCACTGCACTAGCAGGACGCCACAGCTGACGCTCGCTATTTTGCTAGCGAAGAAGAACGATTCGTGCACTTGCAGCAGTGTATGTCTGTGCAGTATGGCCGCAGAGGTAGCTGAATGGCATGTTGCAGCCTGCTATGTTGTCTGCCTTTATGCTGGAACATGGCTGTTGAATATGGTGCTGCCAGGACGTCGGGCCAGAGGCTCAGCGACAGACTGCAAAGGAAAGCAGCTGGAGTACAAGCTGAATGGTCTAGCATGTGTTGCAGTGCTGCTGGTGGTCCTGTATGCGCTCACCTATCTACTGCCTTCAATACAGCTGGACTTCATCATCATCAACTTCAGAGCATGTGCAACTGTCGGCTGTGTCATCGGGGTGTTGGCTTCAGTTTGCCTCCACGTTGCAGGAGACTCGTGGCCAGGACATGTATCTGCTCATGAAATGACACCGTCCGGTTCCGCCGTAAAGCGTTTCTTTCTCGGTGCGGAGTTGAACCCAAGGTTGTTGGGCTTAGATATCAAGATGTGGCTGTATCTGGTCGGTGTGTTCATGGTCATATTGAACATGGTGGCATCAGTGGTGTACTGTCACCACTATTCCACCACTGGTCTACATCCACTCTTCTTGTTGTATGTTGCGGAAATGCTGTGGTTCTGTTTCGACTATCTCATCTTTGAGCACATCCAGCTGACCACGTATGATCTGTTTGCCGAGAATGTTGGCTTCAAGCTGGCTTGGGGCTGCATTTTCTTCTACCCATTCTTCTACCCTGTTGGCGTGTGGCCATTGCTGCCTCTTCCAGCCGAGACCGCTACCCCAGTGGAGCAACTTCAGCTATTTCCCGGTCAGTGCGTTGTGTCAGCTGCTCTGTTCCTTGGTGGCTGGATCCTGTCACGCGGTGCCAATCTTCAGAAGTATGCATTCAAGACGGCCGTCGTCAAGAACCGCAACCGAGTCTTCTTTATTCCACAAGAGACGATAGCGGTAAGTGATATGACTGCACTTACAAGAACCGGTTTGCACTGTGAAAGAGTCACTGAAAGCTATCGTGCTGTGGTACCAATGTGCAAATAATGAACTAGGGCTGACCAGTAACCCTGGCTCGCTTCTCAAGTTGAGAACAGGTTGGGTATGATTCAATATCATGGTACCCGACTTATGAACTTATGATGGTGAATTTCAGAACCTGTATCATGAGCACTCTGCACTCTTACTTCAGTTGTCAATGATAGGGTCACTGGCATGAACTAACTTTTAAATTTTAATGCTTCCACCGGAACACGCACACACACACGCGTGCGCGCGCACACACACACACGCACACACACACACACACACACACACACACTCACATGCCCCTGCACACTGTAACCAAGTATTATTATTATTTATTAAATTTTTAATAGGGCATTCCCACAGGCCTAAGGCCTTCTTACGGGGTACCCTATATGTTTTTGTATGAGTATGCTGGCAGCTTAGACGGTGAGTTGTGCTGATGCCCGGCCAGACTACGAGTCATGTATCACAGTAGGGCACAGTAACCTGCCAAGGTCCCAGGAACGGCTGCAATCCCCATGCTCAGTCACACTGCCACACAGTCACACATGCCCTATAAACAGTCACACATTATTATTATTATTATTATTATTATTATTAAGTAGTGGTTGCGACCTCGGCGATGATTTGTAAGAAAAGGGTTTGCTCCCCACACCGGAGCTCGCGCTATTCCGCCGACTTTACTTGACACTTGACTGACTCACGACTGCCATCCAGAGCACACGAGAAGTCCATCGAACCTTCGACTCGGCAAACCTGCAAGAAAGCACCACTCCCTGCTCAATACACAGTGTTTCGGGGAATTCACCCCTCATCAGTTGAGCTTGAGTAGGCTGAGGAAGATTGTGCCTGAAGAGCACCACTTATATAGTGCTCTCCAGGCACGACCATCACCAGGGATACAAACTTACAGAGACGCTCCGTTTTCAGCGCGACAAACACCTCGTGCGCACCAGATAGCAGCGTGAGTCAGTGTCGCTCCTGGACGGTGAGACAGACGTCGAGGACCCAGAGACTTACAGAGAAACTTACAGAGACGCTCCGTAAAGTCGGCGGAATAGCGCGAGCTCCGGTGTGGGGAGCAAACCCTTTTCTTACAAATCATCGCCGAGGTCGCAACCACTACTTCGTACTGTTGTGCCCAGCGCGGGCTTGCGACTAGTTGGTTTGGAGGTGACAGCGTTGCGAATGACCGAGGGTCCTCGACGTCTGTCTCACCGTCCAGGAGCGACACTTACTCACGCTGCTATCTGGTGCGCACGAGGTGTTTGTCGCGCTGAAAACGGAGCGTCTCTGTAAGTTTGTATCCCTGGTGATGGTCGTGCCTGGAGAGCACTATATAAGTGGTGCTCTTCAGGCACAATCTTCCTCAGCCTACTCAAGCTCAACTGATGAGGGGTGAATTCCCCGAAACACTGTGTATTGAGCAGGGAGTGGTGCTTTCTTGCAGGTTTGCCGAGTCGAAGGTTCGATGGACTTCTCGTGTGCTCTGGATGGCAGTCGTGAGTCAGTCAAGTGTCAAGTAAAGTCGGCGGAATAGCGCGAGCTCCGGTGTGGGGAGCAAACCCTTTTCTTACAAATCATCGCCGAGGTCGCAACCACTACTTCGTACTGTTGTGCCCAGCGCGGGCTTGCGACTAGTTGGTTTGGAGGTGACAGCGTTGCGAATGACCGAGGGTCCTCGACGTCTGTCTCACCGTCCAGGAGCGACACTGACTCACGCTGCTATCTGGTGCGCACGAGGTGTTTGTCGCGCTGAAAACGGAGTGTCTCTGTAAGTTTGTATCCCTGGTGATGGTCGTGCCTGGAGAGCACTATATAAGTGGTGCTCTTCAGGCACAATCTTCCTCAGCCTACTCAAGCTCAACTAATGAGGGGTGGGGAGCAAACCCTTTTCTTCTTCTTATTATTATTATTATTATTTCTCCTTTATTCACTTCTTTCGAAGGCGATAAGCCAGACCCACCGGGAAATATTTCCATGGGTGGGACAGCAAAAAGAAAGTGAAAAAACAAAAACAAAAATAAATAAATAAATAAATAAAACCTAAAAACCAAAGGGACAAGAAATAGTTGAAGGAAGAGGAAGAAAGGAAAGAAACTCAATCCGAACTCCAACATCAAAACAATAATAAAGAATTTGCAGCGACAGGCAAAATACATCAACCAATGAAGGGAGTAGTAACAAAGGAAATATCAGTCTTTATCAGTCGTTATTCAAGTCTCTTAGCTATTGAACATGCAAACGCAGCAGAGGTGCATCTACATGTTAAGGATAGTTCTTAGTTCTTAGTTCTTATTATTATTATTATTATAGACTACACCTCATGGCATGAGAAAAAAAATCAGCCAGTACGGGAGACATGCCCTATAAACAGTCACACATGCCCTATAAACAGTCACAATCCATGCCTCGGTCAAGATTTTACTTGCAATCACCACTACACGACTGAATAAAACTGGAACGGCAGTGTGTGTGCTGCTGGTAGAGTACATGTAGTCCGGCTACAATACTTATACTCTTGGTTACTGTATGCTTTGCTGGTCACATGGCACACCAATACTGTACTACATTTTGTGGTACAATGTAGGGGTCAAAGGGGTGTTCCGGGTACCCGCCCGATAATCCCAGGTACCGTTAGTAAAAGGTTACCCGTTTGGATTTCGGTGATCAAGGCTGCGTTCGTTTTTAGCTACTTGGTAGAGTAGAGTCTACCGATAGAGGTAGATGGTAGAGGCAAGTGTACGGGAGTCAATTATTTACAACTCCAAGCTGCATGCCTGCATTGTTGTTGCATTTTCGCACCTATAGTAGATCTACCTCTGCAACTATCAGTCTCAAATCAATTAATTATTTGCGAATCATAATGTGATATCAAAATGCAACCTGAGAACAGATAAATTACTATCATGGTTTATATGAAAATTGGGCAAAAATTAAAACATGGTGGCTAAAGGGTACCCGTTAACCCGTCCGTTAAGAAAATTAGCCGTTCGTTAGTTAAAGGTATACTCGTTTGACCCTGAGTACAATGCTTGCCAATGTCCATGTTATAATTTTAAGGTTGCACTTCTAACTTGTGTGTGTGTGTGTGTTGTGTCACAGGGCAAGCTGCTAATCTCTGGCTTCTGGGGATTGTCTCGTCATATCAACTACCTAGGAGAGGTCATGATGGCTCTTGCCATGGCAATGTGTGGAGGCTTAGCTCAGCCGTTCTCCTACCGTGTGTTGCTGCCGTGGCTCTATCCACTGTACTATGTTGTGCTTCTTGTTACTCGTGAGCGGGACGATAATCGGCGGTGTGCTCAGAAGTATGGCAGTCTGTGGGCAGTGTATGAGAAGAGAGTGCCATATCGCATCATCCCCTACATCTACTAGTCATGCTTGCATGGCACTCCTAGTCAAGGGCTGGTCTACTTTGTCCTGTGACTCAGAAGTGCTGCTTTCTTTGTTCTAACTTCTTGTCTGGCATGTGCTGACGTCAAAAAATCCCTCATATCAGATGAGCAACTGAGAACAAAAAGAACACCACTGTGAACTGTTTCACCTCCAAAGAGGTCACATGATATTGAGTAGTAGGCCATGTTCTGATTGAGTTGAATCAGCTTGATGCTGCATCTTCAAAGTAAACCAGTACTTGTTCACAACCAGTGCAAGGCAATGTGGAATTAACTTGTTCGCGTGTATGTATTGCTGTAAGACAGCCATGAATGCAAGGCTCTTCCTGCAGGCATCTAGTGGAGTTACAATACAAATTTCAGACTGGCTATCACTGGATTTATCACTTTCAGTGTGTCTTTGAAGTGGAGCTCGGCTTTGTTTTTCCTGATGCAAATTCCTAGTTTAAGCTACATGTACTGTAATTTCAGACATTTCTGGTGTATATTTATTTTGGAATACCTGGGTAAGTAAGTCTCTTTTATACCTGAAATCGTCGCGCAAGTACGGAGGCACGCGCATCATTCCAGAATAATTATCTAAGATATACCCGAAATTTCTGTGTGTGTGTGTGCGTGTGGTCTTTTGCCCACATACACATTCTCGTACATCTCTGAAATTGGAGTACTTGCCACATGCATGTCCTGGCTTTTGCTCGCTGCTTTTTCACAGGTTTGTACGGCAGTGTTGGAAGGCACCATTGCCACTCACACGTGAATTCGTAGATTGGTCACAAGCAATTGGAACAGGTTCCGAGTTTGATTGTAAAACACTAATCATCAGCAGCGGTACACTACATGATTGTAATCGCACAGAGATAAAAGAATAGCTGCACAAGCGCACAAAATGACGTCAGGGCAATGACGAGAAGAGAGGAAAATTCAAAAAATACTAGCCACTGCACCGGCATTAGATGTGCACTGGTGCTCGGTGAAACAGAACATTCCAAGCGGCACCATCAATACAAAGATTTAAAAAAAGTGACAAGCATGACTCTAGAGAGGGCCTGGCTGGATACAGCTAATAAGAAAAAAAAGGTTAAAAAATAGTCACTAGAAGCAGGACAAAAAGAGGTGTGCACTCGTGGCAACCACTAGTTTCCCAGAAAGTCTTTTTTTCTTGAGACGAGAGGAATGATATTAACTGAATAGTTCTTAAATACGACTTCGTCCGGATTGGAGCACGGTGACAACGACTCTCGTTCACAATGATTTAGCAGGTTTGGGAATCCTTGTAGGAAAGTGGCAGCAACGGCAGTAACTAGGATACTTGCTAGATACCAAGGCCAAAAGGCAATTGAGCTACTGGATAGCCGTGAAAGAGAAGAAAGGCACAAACAGACTGTGTCCCGTGTTACATCGCACGGCGGACAATCGTGTGTGTGTCGCCACTCCCCTTGATCAAGCCGAAAATTCAGGCGCAGAAGAAGCAGGTCTTCTTGTGTTTTTGGTGTATTGGATAGGTTTTTTTCGTTTTCTTCTTCGCATGGCAAGAATATAGTAGCGTTCTTGAGAATATGGAATAAGACCAGCTTAGTAGGGGTAAAACAAACCGGGTAGCAGCCATTGAAATCGGCTTGTTCACAGTGACAGGTGATGATGATGAAGTAGTAGTAGAAGTGAGCACAAGGAATTGGCTAAGGTAGGCCATGTTCCAAGGTCCTCTTGAACCATGCACTCTTGCGTCGTTTGGGATACGCAACCTCATCACACCATCAGTCACAGCCAGGCACGACGGAGGAGCGCGAGGAGAACAAAGAGAACACAGTTCTGCATTCACAGTGTTAACCCAGTTTTCTTGGCTTGCTACGTTGATGCACACACACACAGCCTAACGCAAGCTGTATGCATTCGAGCAATGGTGTACGCATGCATACTAGCTACGGCGTGTGATGTAGGCGTTCAGAGCTCGCAATGCATAGAGCAGTTCAGCTTGTAACCGTGCTTCCAAGAGAAGAAAGTTGATGTGTACCTGGAGAGTAGAGAACACAGCCATAGTTATACCAGTGCATCTTCAAACCTCGACTAAAGAAACACCTAGCCAAAAAACTCTAACTTTGGAAATTTTTGGTGCTCAATATTTTCGGTATGAGGGCAACAGGCTAGGTTAGGTGAATAGAAATTTTCGGTACAGAGAAGCAGTTCCCTATTGGATTATGTGTGTTAGTGTTTCTTCGGTGTATTGAAATTTTAGGTATGAAACAGACGCACCGAAAGTACTGAAAATAAAAGTACACCGGAAATTTGTGAAATTACAGTAGTGCTCAGGACATTCACAGGTGACATGGATCTGATGCTGGTGTGCCGCTCAAAACTAGCACAGTTTACATGGCTTGTCACTGAATACATTGTACAAGCTTGCCATTCAAATCTCATTCCAAACAAGCAAGGGCTTCTACCCCATGTACTGCATACAACGACTTTTACGTATGTGCGATGACCTCATTCACATACAGTAGTCTAGGACTAGCAAAGTACTTCGAATACTAGTGTACTGACCTGCTCGGAGGGCTTGAACATGTCCAGACATTGGAACTCTGCTGGTGTCACTCGCTCAGGAAAGCACGTGATCTACACCCACACACACATACACACACCCACACACCCACACACAATGTACGTCCGTCACAAGAGAACCACGCAAGTACATTGGACGCACACCCACACAATTTCTCGTATACAGTACATTGTACTGCTCAATAAAATCCGATTGCGTGAGTCCAGTACGTGCCTTGCGCTGTGCAGCCCCAGGCCTCAAACACTGGGCTGTGCAGCCCCAGACCTGCAAACACTGGGCTGTGAACTGGTGCTTGACTCGCGCGATGGGACTTCATTGAGCAGCACTGTAGCAACGCTAGTAGAGAAGATTGAATGAATCAGATCAAGACCCAGGCCAGATAAATGCCCAATCCACAGAACTGATGAAGCCAAGTCGATTGATTCCTAATGCACACTTGGTCTACACCACACAGGGTTGAGGCGACGGTTTCAAATAGGATATAGGTTGCAAACAGGAACGGTCTTAATATTCACTTTCTCTCTTGGTATTTTGATTAGAAAACGTATGTCACAGTGAGACTACGATATGCTTTACTCATCGCCAAAATTTCATGGTTCTGCGATGACCAGACGCGCCATACCAAGCATTTGAGTTTTTGACGTGTTGCTTCCCTCTGCGAGTTGAGTTTTATGACTTTGGAAAAATCAACTTCTTGTCGCAGGTAAACAGCGGCTTGCCTCTCGCCAATAAAGCACCTCATACCGATCAAAACTAATGGAAGCACACACAAGGCTTATTGTTACTCTGTACTGGCCGTCGTGGAGCGATAGCAATTACCTAATTTCAGACCCAGAGTGAATTTGACGTGCACTCTAAAACATGTCCGGTTTGGAGCCACCTCTGATTTGAAGCGAAAAATTGGGCAACTTGGAGGCAATGGGTCAACACAAAGGAGTGGCTCAGTTCGATTGACTCTGGCCTCAGAGCAAACTTCAACATGCCAGTTTCCTTCCACAAACATATTTCAAGTGAACAATCAACGCTGATGATCGGTTTGGGTCTATACAAATTTGGCCGTCAAGCCGTCCCGGTATCGAACCGTCGCCTCTACAACGGAATAAAATGGCCAATACAGCTACATTAAAACCTGTAATGGCGACCACTCGACCATGGCGACCACTTTTCCTTGTCACGGACGCATTCACGTTCAAAACACCTCGGATATGGCGACCATTCGCTCAACGCGATCGACGACCACCCACCCGCGACCGTGTTGCACAGTGCTAGTCATGTAAATGTACGCATAGCATGGTGCACCAGGCATGGTAGATCTACACATCAGTGTAGGAAGTGTAGATGTACAGTCGAATGTCACTTATCCGGTCGCCAGTTATCCGAGCACGTCGGTTATCCGACAAGCCCGGGAGTGGTAATTTTATGACTCTCAACAGTAAAATTCTAAAAAAAAATTTTTGTTGTATATTATACGGTGTAATATGCATTTACTTGAAGTAGATGTGGTCAAGTATGCTAACAATAGTAACATGTATGTGTACATGGAGCAAATCATGAATATGCATGAATACATTTGGGTATTGTGTACATAAATCAGTGAAATCCAGCCATATATGCACATAAAAAATGATATCAGTTATCCAACATGCCTGATTCCCGAAGTGGTCGGATAAGTGACATTCGACTGTACATGGTGCATGCACGGCATTTGACAGGTCTGAGGACCCCAGGCACATGAGTCGTGCTAGAGTAGCATAGGTGTGTGCACTGTGATGCACTGATCAAAATGATGTATCACATGTGGATATGGTCACGTGACCCACTGAACCTGGATAAGAAGACCACCTGGCCACGGCGACCACTTTTTCTCGTCCCTTGAGGGTCGCCTTAGATAGGTTTCACTGTACTTAACAGCTATGCACACCTTTCTCTTGCTGGGCTAGCCAGTATAGACGGTATACTGCTGTAATAGAAGCAGACACTAGATGAACTGGTGCTTCGTGTACTTTACCATACAATCACACCCACACCCAGACACACCCACAAGCGCACACCCACACTCACACATACACTGCATAACCATCACGCGAACAGAAAGCACATTAACAAATTGTACATGTAGTAGAGCAGGCAATAAACCAAGAACACAGAATACAATAGCAGAGTAATGGATGGAGATCACAACAAATTCCTTGCGCTTTTCACGATTCTCTATATTGACTCACCATCTTAACATACGTCTTCAACTCACGAGACACCAGCTGGTTGACCTAAGGATACGCATGTGGTTAAGAAAGGAAAGACAACAAAAGCAGCGTCAGGACAGGAACAGCTCTGAGCAGGACTAAGCATTGCTAGATGCACTACCATCCACATTCACAATGAACAGATATCTTCACATAACATACAACTGCTTGAACACATCAAAGAGAAAGACAGGTGGACCACCAACAGGCAAACACCCACCCACCCACCCACACAGGCACACACAGACACACACACATTGTTCCTGCAATAGCAGATAGCTAGCAGATATCCAGTACCTGTCGATAGCTGTAGTCATCATGGAAGATGCCCTTGATGCAGTGTATGTAGTTGAATACGGCCCGTCGAAATGGGGATGTATCGATATTTTCCACATCACCAACCCTAAAGGCAAGATAGAAGATCGACAAGAAGTGTGAAGGAAGTCACCAGCAATTCAGCACACATAACTTACCACACAGAAAACACACCCACACACACAAAGAGAATCAAGTTACCAAACACCTGTAGTATACTATAACATGTTCTGCAACACAACAGCTCTACATGAACGGGTCCGGTTGGTCAGGCCATGGCCGGACCAACTCTTTAGCCACCAACACATGTTTACTAATGTGGAGGTCATGTGTATAGTGTATACCCTCCATATCATACACAAACTGTATGAAAGGCTAGGGTATGGCCGGTCAGGCTCTAACTTACTTGTTGTATGTGAGGGAGGCAACACAGGAGAACTTCTCGTCCAGCAGAGGCCCAATGTCAGAGTAGAGGCGGTTGACCAGTGAAAAACCATGGTCTTCCCAGCAGTAATCCTAGACAGCAGACAAACAACCGACACCACATTGACAATTTCAAACAACCGACACCACACGGACAATTTCCACAATTCAATTGGACCAGCAGTTGCTGCAGGTTTAACCCTTTCAGGGTCACAGTGCATTTACTACGTCTGGGCACCGAAATTCAGTGCATCAGTACAATTGTGGAGATAGCAACAAACAAATTGTCACAACATTTTTGTTTCTCAACGGATTTTCAAAACTTATGGCTTACTGGAAAGCTCCTTTCCAGCTCGTCATCTTCCACGTACTTTCAGAGCATACAGCACCTCAAGGACGCCCCTAGCCTCGCCAACAGTGTCCCTACCGTGCGCCAGTTTGGCATCAAGACCACGCTCAACTATTTCCTTCGGTTTGGGGCTCATACTCAACGTAGAACTACGATTCAAACTGCATCGAGCTCGTGAGATTCAAGCGATTCAAATGATGTACTCATACGTCATGCTGCCTTTCACACATCATTAGGAAATCCCCTTGAATGACTTGAAAGTCGCAAAAATATCGCCAGACAGAAAGTAAGAAAAATGTTCAGATCGAAATCGCGCGTTCAATTTGTCGCCGCTCGATCATGTGTTGAGCTATCGCCACACCGAAAACACCTCTGGAAAGCCCTTTCCAAGACCGTTCCAATGAGCTATAGATCTTCGCGATGCAATAATCCGTTCCAGAGTTATGGCTGTTTGTACAGTAATCTATCAGTGCGTACGGTACGTGGACTGTACAAAAAGTATAGCGCGAGTATACTCGTCATAGCCCAGACGCGATGGGGTCTGCATGACGAGTATACTCGTCATAAACCCGGAAAGGGTTAACCTCTCGCCTTTGGATGAAAATGAGATGCTAGTACAGTAAAACCTGTAACTAAAGACCACCGTGACTAGCGACCAGCCTGCTACTACCGACCACTTTGCCAGGCACGGAAGGTCTCACATTCAAAATGCACTGTGACTAGCGACTACCTGCTGAACGCGACCAGCGACCGCCTTTTCCTGTCCCAAAGACAATTTTTGACCCGTAACTAGCGACCGCGATGTAGGAAATCAAATGTTGCTCGAAGCTCCTTCTTGAAATTTTGCTGATTTTCCATGGTCCTGAAAGGAATCTTTCGATACTACAGCTGAACAAATAAACGCAGGTAATTTTGGCTGTGGAGTCGGTGTGGACTGCACTACACCTGTCAAAATTTCAAGCGCTGTCAAGAATAAACATGATAGGAAACGTCTTGGAGAGCGCATCGAAAGCGCTCTCTGATCGATGTTACTACTCGGAGGAGAAACGAAGACTGGGCGGCTCTGTCACCCCAGTCATACAGACGGATCGACGATGGAATCAAGTAATCCAGAAACAAAGCAGCACCACAAGGTCCTGATGCGGAAGGATCGCGTTCAAGCAATCGAGAAGTCACAACAAGGACAGTCGGTACGATTGATCGCATGAACAAATTTGAAGCCCAGCGCAAAACGAAACTTCCTCAGGGAACGTTTGACTCCTGGCTTCAGAAGTAGCTGCGGAATTTGAAGTCTGCAAAAATTAATCTTCTCTCTCTCTGTCTCTCTCCATCTCTCCGTCTTTCTCTCCCAAGTGTTGTTTGACCTGAAATAAGAATGACATTGCGCAAGTCCTGGGGAATGGTATTAGCTGCAATTTGACATACATATCATATAATGGGATCCATATATGGTCACGCGGTGCAAACCTCTAACTAAAGACCGCTTTTGCTGGCACCAAGGGGTGGTCGGTAGTCACAGGTTTTACTGTATAGGCTGCAACTACATTCTGGCAAATCAAGTAGAGTAAGCCTGCAGCAGCCTGAAGATTACAAACTACTTTAGCAGTAGAGAGTGGCATATCAACTTACGTAGAGACGGAATGGATGGATACCAGAGCCCTCTCCTCTCTCAGCAAAGTTCTCGTGGCTGAAGCTGGGCTCATCCAGGAAAGGAAGCAACATCTCAGGACATGGGCCACTGCAGCTTGTAGACCCATCGCCATTCTCTGAAAAATACAAAACAAAAGTCCATGCTATGAAGTCCATGCTATGATCAATGAACAAGCGGACAGGGCAGCGATGAAGATAAAAACACGCTCACCCCATATTCTACCAGTGCACTCCAATACAACAATGCTCGGTGCTGGAGACAGCCATGGTACTGATGACAATTTGGTATTGCAACGAATATTCGAATACCAGAAAAGTCGGTAAATATAGTACGAAAGTGCAAGTGACAGGCCTAGGCCATGGTACCATACGCATACGGTAGCCTACACATTTCATAGACATTGGTGCTACTCTCTTCCCCGTGCAGCCTGCGCTCCTATCAGCAAGCACTTCTATAACGGTACATTTTGTTTTCCCTCCATCGAACTTTACAAATTTACCATACACAGTATGCACCTGATAACTTTCCCTCCTGTCTCTTTTCTCCTTTGTCTTGCTTCATAACTGCACTCATACACGCAATGGCAAGTAGCTTGCTGTATGCAACGCATGTGGCATGAGTATTGCATACAATTGCTCGACGACGTCGAATAATCATCAACACTGCAAACCGACGACGGGCCAGTCAACACTGACGGAACATTTTGTTGTGTCAGCGAGCTCAACGAAAGCGTGGCCTGCCGCAGCGCAAGACGAAATTATGAAGATACTGACTAGTTGGTGTGGGACTGATTTGCGGCCAGTAAATATTGTTGCAGATGACAGATTTGTCCGTCTCCTCAACTAACGTTGTTACTTTATCGAGCCTGGATATCGCTTTCCGAGCCGCACGCATACTGCCAAGAGGATACTCGCTTCTCACCAGGAGTGTATAGAAGTGAGGAAGGAGAAGTTGATGGTTCCCACGTCTTGCTGTACTGGACCGGTCTATTCTCTGTGTTCCGGCCACATCTGCACCATCAGAGTACATGTATGTGTGTGTTCTGCTTCCGGCCTGGTCTTTGACAAGTGTATGTGTGTGTTCTGCTTCCGGCCTTGTCTTTGACAAGAAGAGAGCACTGACCGGAGCAGACATGGCCCAAGCATTGGTCTTCCTTCATATCAACTGTGATCTGAGCGGTATATCAGGAGACACCCCTGCCTCACAATATTCGTTTCAAGCCCAATATTATAAAATATTAATGACGAAGGTTGCTATTCCTTTCCTTGTCTGGGATTGGAAACTCTTAATAAACAACATAGCTTGCCTCTTCTCGCACTATAGCTGTGCACAACCTACTGATCTATACCCCCCCCCCCCCCCCCCCCCCCCAGAGTGTGCAGCTTCCGACTTTTCTGCATTGGTGTCACGGCGAAATTCCGGTATTGCACCATAGTTGGTGCAGATATGCAGTGGGAAGTGGCATAGTGCATACAACTGAGCTGAAGTTCTGCAGGAGGAGACCTGCTTGAATCCTGCGTGTACGCATTTCATCACAAACATCCGAGCTGTACACTCTGCATACTTGCCAACCCAGCCAAAGCAAATGCCTTAGTCCCACACCCAGTTTCCCTTAGTTTTCTCTCATTTCCCTTATTTTCCTGGTTTTCGCCAATTTCGGCCAATCTCTCTTTTTTTGTGGCAATTTTTGCGTATTTTTCCGCAATTTTTGGCAATTTTTTCCTTCCTTTTTATTCATTTATAACTCTTTGCTCATTGGGGGACCAAAACCTGAGTTTCTTTATTGTCAGATCGCCCCTACATGTGTGATTCTGTGAAATGCAGGGCCGCATGTGCCCTTGTCACACCACAAAACAACCGTTTTATGAACACTCATGATTCAGTGCCAATACCGGTAGTTTTTCGATTAAAGTCAAAAAGCCCCGGTATGCTGGTAGTAGACACCCTTAGCAAACAACGGTAACGCTATTTGTTACGGTACTCGTACCATGATCTCCCAAATAGCGTTGACACTGCAGCGTATAAACGTTATGGGGGCTGATTTATCGTTGTGACCAACGGTACGTGTTTTAGCCAAATATTGCATAGTCCGTACGCATTTCACCTTGTATCTCGTATATGGTGACAAAAATGGTTGTACCGCGCGAAATCAAAGCTATTCTCGTGGCAACAGCGTACTAAAAATAGCGTGCATCTTGCTAAAGGTCGAACCCAAATCACGGTACCGTATATTCTCTATTATAAGCGCAGGTCTCCATTACTAGCACAGTCTCTAATACTAGCACACTGTGAGCACCTTTCGAAACATTATAAGCACGGTCTCTATTATTAGCACGGTCTTGGTGGAAATCAATGCGGCATGCATGATATCTAGCATGTATTTCTTCTTGCCCTGTATGGATGTATTGGTTGAAAAAACATAAGCACGGTCTCCAATATAAGCGCGGTCTCCAATATAAGCACGGGGTAGAGGGGTGTTGAAAAAATATAAGCATGGCGCTTATAATAGAGAATATACGGTATTTTCCCCCTTACGATAATACCGTTACAACATAACGTTTTTTGCTAAGGGTGTCTAGTGACCGTAGTTTCCTGGTACAGTAAAACCTGGTGTAAGCGACCTCTGGGTTTAGCGACCACCTGCTCTTAACGACCGTTTTTCTATGCACCGACAGTTCTACACAGACACTGTGGGACATGGTTCTAAAGACCACCTGGCTTTAGCGACCGCTTTTGCTTGCACCGTGGGGTGGTCGCCTAAACCAGGTGTTTACTGTATAATACCGGGAAAGCCGGTATGGTTGGCAAGTATGACTCTGGGTTTCATGTAGGCATAAGGCATTAGGTCAGTTCACCAGTACGACACTCACCAGAACTGCCTCCATAAATCTGCTGAAAGTTTGTCAGCTGATCTTCACCGCTGCTGCTATCCTCCTCTTCCTCTTCAGCATTGAGCTCCTTCATTTTCTCCGCAAGCTCTCCAACATCTTCTCTGCTGGCGACACGCATCACGCCCTTGTCGGTAGGCGGAGCGATGGTACCATCAATAGCAGCTGGAGCAGCAGCAGCCACAGCGGCGGCAGCAGTACCACTCCTATGTACACCATTACTACCATTTGCAGAGGATGCAGCGGGTGCTGAAGTAGTTTGCTCACTCCGACTTGCTGCACCGTGTCTGTCACCCGTGGACTGACTAGTACACTACAAGCACGCAGTACAAGAATCATACGGTTCAAAATTTGCTTGTACCCAACAAGATAACAACAGCAGCAGGACACCAAACAACATTTAGTACCGTATTTTCTGGAGTATAAGCCGCATTGGAGTATAAGCTGCACCCAGGTTTGTTGTCGCGAAATACGGACATTTATCACCATTAATTTGACCGCCGTAGGCGCACCAACTTATTTGGGGTGAATTACTGGTGGTTAAAGTGCGGCTTTTACTCCGGAAAATACGGTACGTTCCGTGGACGCTTACCATACTATGATACAGGGGCGCACCCAAGGGGGTGACCTGGGCTGGGTGGCTTTTCTTACAGACACCTGTTATGCATAGTACATGTACATGTACCTGAAGAGGCAACTGCTCACAGCCGCTAGTGCACAATGATCTTACCACGAAAAAACAGCCACCGTGCATTATTGCATCTAATGACTTTGCCTTGCTACCTGCGTGACCAATTGGTGTTAAATGTACTGTTGAACTATTGACGGACATAGTATGTTAGGGAAGGCGATTGCGATGCAATGGGTGATAGTAGCATCACGCAAAACGGATTATTATTTTGAAGAACAATGATGCGCCCAAAGTCTACATGGATATAGTCATATAAAGCGTGCACACATCAGGGATTGCTTTGAACATTAAATGTACTTGCCCACATCAAGGTAGTTTTTTCCGCACACTTGGTGTTACGTGGGTACACACCTGCCATGAATTGCCTAAAGTTCACAGCGTATACAATGTATGTTTTCTCGAGGAGGGAGTAGCGGGACGATGAACAGGCGTGCACTCCAAATTCAACTGTGAGTGTGTGTGTGTGTATGCGCGCATGTGCGTGTGTTTGTCATGAATAAATGGATCAGTGGTTACAGCACATAGCCTCAATACTGTGTGCAAAACCAAGCAGTTAAAAAGGAGAGCTCACATACCGTAAACGAATGGCCTTCCGGCATATCCAGCTCAGGGTTGACTCCGCAGCCGAACACAAAGCCAGACACAGCATGCCAGTGTGCAAGCAAGACCAGTGCATGCATTAGCTCTCCCATTGACCAACTGTCTGGACCAGGTTGCAACAACATCTACAAAACACACACACAAATATAAGACAAACAGGCACACGTGCACACACACACACACTCGTAAAACGGCAGCAGGAAGGGGATGAATGGCCAAGGAGCTGCAAAAGTACCTTCCATATGCCAATTGTAAGGAATGTCACATATCTAATGTTTTCAAAGCTGGCAAGCTAAGGAAGAGTTTGATTTGCAGTGGGATATTGTGTTTCTCAACGATTAGAGTTATCACATTGGGGGACCATTGTTTAGAACGTCTGCCAGTGTGCCAAGGACGGCAAAAAGCAGTCTCCATTGCAGTTGCCTCCATATCATAATATTTACTGCAGGCTTAGTTTGATGAGGTCTGCTTCGCATACTGCTCACCAGAAAAATTTCAGAATAAGTCATGCACACACCACGCGGGAGGGATCTTTTGATGAGATACATGGAGTACTTGCAACTATGTACCGGCTTGACTAAGAGTGAGACGGATTTCGCAAACATGACACCAATACATCGAGGAATCGTGGACATGCAGTGCCAAAGAGCTTCGAATTCACCGTGCTCATGGCTACCAGCATGGTAACGCGTGCACGATCACAATCTTTCAGCAAAGTGCTGCTCGATTTGTTTGTAGGAATCTGTAACAACCGGACCAATCCAAACCCCATATACAGATTCGATAACTCAAACTACCCAGAACTCTCCCTGCCAGCGCCGTAACTGACTACTGTGTGGCACTCTGAAATTTATTGTGTATTATCATCAATTTATCAAATGTGTTACTGCAGATCCTGGGCGACATCATGTTGATCTTGAGAAGTAGATAATAAGTGTAATCGAATACGTGTAACGAGCAACCATTTTTATTGATAACACGCGTCATCTTCAATCGAAAAATCAATAAGTAGAGTCAAGCGTTGACACATACCTCCATGTGTTTGTGGTTGACAAGCCATGGCCGATGAGCAAGTAGCTTGTTCACTTCCAGTAGGTTCTGAAGTTTGCGTGGAAGATGATCAATTCCCCGAAGCCACGAGGAGTCACCTTGCTGATCTTGGAAGTCCTTGAGTAAGACTCGGACCTGGAAAAGCAACAAGCAATACAAGGACGGGTGTTGCAGTAAGAGGACCCTGGATCCTGCCAGCATACATACATAGTGGCAGACCTTATATGCACAACCTACATGACTAACTTACATACTTTGAAGTACACGAGATCTACTTAGAGCAACCTACGAGTACAAGCTTACAGCACACATGGCAACAGGCTATGCACCTACTACCATACACGCAATCAACTAGTAGCTGGGTAGCGATGATGATGTACCTCCAGTGGGTTACTATTCTATAGCCGAGGTGCTCTATATAAATAAACTGAATAAATTAGATCATACACGTCTGCGCCCTCATGTCACCATCCTCATGGATCAATGCGCAGATGTAGCATCTAAAGCGGTGGGAGGTGAGTAGATCAGGCCTACCACAAATTGGTCAGAAACCAAATATCCTATTTGCGGCATCCATGCCACCCTCGTGCCAGGTTACGAGTTTCCAATTAAGCGCGAGTTGCAGGACAGTTGGAAAAGTCCTACCGCTTCAAAGCAGGACTTGCACCTGGCACCCTCCATTTCTGAGCCATTGTCGTAGACCATCCCATTATGCCTGCCTGAGGTACTCTATCCCAGGTCAAATGACTGGGCAAGGATACGCAGGGCTCAGATTCCTCAAAACTGGTGCTTTATTGCCAATGCAAAGAGAAAAGTAGGTCACACCCAGGCCAATATATTACATGACAGTGTACTGAAGGGTTCACTGTACATGTGTGTACTTTGTGAAGCACTTACCAAGACACCGCAACGATGACGTGATGCAGCCTGTGTCAACACACACATACATGTACATCATACCGGTACGCACACTATCAATGATCATGGAGAATTTCACATTTCGCTGTGATACAACCCCACGCACACATACACGTCTACACTCGGGAGGTTATTTTAATCTTGGTAATCATGGTAGTGCTCAAAGATTGTCTAATTATCAGTGTGTATTCATATCACCAGTCACCAGGGCCAGTGTGAATATGCATACATCATGCAACACTTGGATACTAAAATGCAATTGAAAGTGAGCAACGCTGCGTGTTGACAGGACATAGCATGTAATGTACACGCTATGCAGCGGCTTCTATGTTCAGATAATCAACTTCCCTATATTAGGCCACACGTTTTTATTTCTATGTTTCTCGTCACCCGCGCGCATACGATTCAGGAGTCTGGAAGAAAAAAAGAAAAAAAACTGTGCATGTGGGGACCAGCACACTCATGCACATGTACATAATGTGGCCTGGCCTGCGCGACACATGATGCAAGGACGGCATTTTTTGCGCGCAATCTAACTGCACATGCACCGATTGTGACAGAAGCTCCTACCACATACTAGTTGCTAACTATGGATGCTATTTTGCATGGTGTATTGGTGGATTTTAGTGTGAACAAAGGTCTAATAAACTTTTTTATTTTTCGGTCATTTTTTATTTTTTTCCACCTCTCGCATACGTTTTTAGATTTTTCAGGTGACGAGAAACATAGAAATAAAAAACGTGTGGCTTTACCGGGGAATAACTGTAGGTGGTCACAATGCATACTAGTACAGTCAGACCTCGCTTATCCGGTCCTCTTTTATCCGGATCCCTCGCCATCCGGAAGAAAATCGTTGGTTACCGATTCACAGCATATGCCATGCATACATAAAGTATGCGTGTTCGGTTATCCGGTTCCCTCGCCTATCCGGATATTTTTGTGGAAAACGGATGTGTGCGGTTATGCGAGGTCTGACTGTACCACATCCCCCCACCACCAACATACGCCCACACATGCATACACAGTGACACCTAATGGGCATAAACCGTACCAGGACAGCGATCATAGTTCTCCATTCGAATGGCAGTGGACCATCCCCGTGCATCAGGTAGTGCTGACAGCGTATGTGGCACTCTAAGTATGCAGGATGATCACCCATCACCTGAGTCATGTTGGAAACGCGCCCATCATAGAGAAACGCATCCATAAATAACCGGGACACCTGGCAAAAAGAAAAGCAGAAAATGCATGCGGTTCGATTATACTATGGCTACAACAATCATTGTAACCACACGTCAGTCGAGTACTAAAATGATGGCAAAATGTTTAACTCATGAGGCATGAGGTCTTGAACTAAGTGATCAGCGACCACCTGGTACATTCGGATCATTGAAATTGAGCAGAGAAGGGCATATTCATCCCTCAAAGTGCCGTACTGGGCAACACCTCCAGTAAACGCTCCAGTTACTAGTAGGCATATGCGGATAATGCCGGCAGAAAAATTGGCAGAATTCGGTACTTTTTCTGGTAAGTGTCATGCATGTTTGGTATGTGGATAAAGAAATGGAGCAGAATTCGAGGAATTGCCCGCCATAAGGTTTGTATGGTTCTGCCAATTTCACTGCTTTTCGAGCAGAATCTGCCACCTTTTCGAGCATTATCCGCCAATGCCTAGTTACTAGTAGTCTGTGCCAGGTAGAAATCTTGGGTGGATCCACAACAGTTCACAGTATGGCAACTCCTAATAGTAATAGTAGTAGGCATAATGTAGCATTATAATACCGGTATTCATACACATCATACAAGGCATGCATCACCGCTCAAGCCTGCAGTCATGCACATGCCTGCACAGCTCCTTGACTACCAGGGAATGTGGGTGTGTGGGAGGCTTGCTGGGGGTGTGCCAGTACAGAAATACACCACACAGAGTGCATGGCTGGCACATGCTCAAGGATTCACAGACTAGACTGTGCACAGCCACATCATAAATTCATGATGCACTTATGATGCACTTAATACTAGTTCTGCCACACATTTCACTGAACACAGTCGGTGTTCAACACTGACTGCAGCATGGTGTCATGTGCCAGCATACACACCATTGGACCATTGGATGCCCATCACAGGAGGCGATGATAGCGATGCTACAGCAGAAGCCATAGCAGCTTGTGCTGGGATTGCACCATTCAACAGCTTGCAAAGAATTGACCGCCACTATTCAGCCTGGTCTACACCACACAGCTATGAAGTGGCTTTTTCTGGCTTTTTCACACACACACACACCACACACACACACACTTGTATACCAGTGCAGTGACTCTTCACTTTAGACTAATGTTACTCAGTAGATCTACCTATGAATCAAAAACCTGCAAGAGCTAGTGATGTGGTGCACGTTATGTGCACAGGCCCAACCAGTTACCTCTTGTCAGCACACAGGAAGTCCCTGACTTGCCAGCAGCACCAGCAATAATGCACCAGCTCCGTGCATGCCCTGGCTACAGTATTCAAAAGCTATCCCAACCACTTGAGACCTGGCGGACAGGACTTCCTGGCAGCTAGCAGCAGCACTGAACCACTCTAGAAAATGCAAGAACTCGCAATGACATTCCAAGATTACACAACTCCCCTCACCTGATCATCACCACTTCCGACTGCTTGCACCTGGTAGTGCAAACAAACCATATGTACAATATTTAAAAAAATATTAGGAGTTATGTCCTGAACATCCCACACTGACCAACAGCTACAGTGTGGTGTCCCAGGCTTCCCAAACAACCAAAGCCCAAGTAACAGGTTAGTTCGGTCATACTTGTCATGTACATACTTCATAGTACGCTAACTTGAAGAAAAGATTATCATATTTCACATATCTCAACGTATATTGTGCATTTTACACACATGTATTACTTCAAAGCAAAAAAACAAACAGGTACAATTTGTTTTCAAATAGCAAAACGTACAGCACGAACCTACCTTCGGCGTTGGCATGAAAGAACTTGCGCCAGCATACAAGGGAGTTGGCACGGGGGTCCCATGTTCCTAAAATCCGACACAGATAGATAGAGCGAAAGTGAAATCGACAATGAATGAAACCTACAGGCCGATGACAGAATTGAAATTACCTCCAAATCAGCTAGCAATTTAGAGAATGAACTGCGAACTTCCTCCACGGGGCATTGGCGACTGAGACGAAGAACAGTCGGGAGGTGGCATTGCAACAACTCAGCAGCAAGCTCATCGTTCAAGGGAGCTTGAGAGGCCCAAATTCGTACAGACGAATCGATTCGCGTCAAAGCAGTCTTGAGCGCTGTGTCTGAACGAGTCAACAGAGCACTGAAAAAGTGCGCTGAGTCGTCCTCACCCCTCAAATCCACCAAGTCATGATTTTCATCGTAGAATTTCGCTCTTGTATCCATCTGGTGAACGTAGCAATTCTAAGAAATTGCTTCCAAGCGTGGCAGACTATTTCAAAGGTACAATCTGCCAGAATTTCCTTCCAATTGTTGACATAAGCAATGAACGGGGAAATTTCAGAGCCGATACGAACAGCAAGGATAATCAAATCTACAGCAGTGGTATAAACAAGCACGAGAGAATAGCGGGAATATCTGGCTCTACTTTCTACCGCCTTTCACCTTGACTCTGTTGCTTACACGAAGCTAAAAGTAGTCTGATTTCCAAGCTCCTTTCAGTTCACAAAATTAATCTCAATGCAAAGTGAAGAAAGTGAAGATATGAAAATAATTGAGTACAAGTCATGTCTTTCTGAGCTGTATGATGTACTACATGCATACACTGTAATCATGGTAATCGAACTCAGCTACGTCGCCGGCGTCTACGGTGCTACATCGATGCATCGCAGAGTGCGAAAAATATCCAAAAACAACATAGATCTACACTACATTGTACGCTATGCACATGATGCAGGCACGCACTGACTGTCTCGTACTGAGTCCACATTTTATAGAGAGCAGGGAGTAGTACATGTATGTATTTTACTACTCCCTGGTACAGACAGTGACTGCCATCCCCCGACCCCGGTACGCGGTGCACGGTGCCGGTGCGGCCCCAACAATACGTCATGTACCACGCACATCAAGACTGCGACTTGTAGTTGTACTCGTAGAATCAACTGATCAAGGCAGCAGAGATTTGAAAACTGATTGTGACACTGCATACCTTTCTATTCCTGTTTCCAATAGACCCTTTGCGCAATAAGCGAGAGGGGTCGAGACGGGGCATGCTGTGCACGCGCTGCACACTTGGCATGCAACCAGCATGCATGGTTTGCTGCAGGACGTGATCAAGTTTCCTGTGACAGGCTGTATTTTCACGGTCCCAACGCGATGTTCATGTATGTACTCCCCAGCCTTTTTTCATTTGAAGATTTTTTAGTTCTGAAGGAAGAAGTTCCGAAATGCTTTCCAAGGACCACTGTTGGGTTCTTGTTTGCAGCAACCGTCATCCCTAACGTTAGTCTAAGGAACCCACTTGTCTTTCCATGCGTTCCCTGGTGATGCTGGCATTCCACACTCTGGAATCCTGGCTATCTGGCGAGAAGAGGGCCGCAGTGCTGCGATATCGTTCACAGTGTTGTGCTCGGAACACTTTGTCCATGACGACTTTCATCCTTGCTTTTGCGAAGATATGGAACGCCCTGCCAAGAGACTCCGGAGCTTGAGAAAAAGGCATGATCCATCCCTGTCTTCGCTATTCAAGGAAGATCGACTGCTTGCTGGCGCTGCTCGAGCTGCTGATGTTGAAGTGGAGAGAGACGCAGCCTCATCGCTCAGGTGTGCGGAGAAAGTCATCTGAGTTCGAGCTGTGGCTGTATGCACGATATGACAGACTTTCACATTATGCACATAGCCACCAAAGTAAAACTCGTGGACACTATCCACGGGCTTGTTCACTAGTACTACTCCATCAGCTCCCTCTTCACTGTCGTCGGCGACTTGCCCCTGCGTTGGAGACGAGCAAGCATGGTGTGGCACTCACTCTGGGAAACAGAGGTTCATCACTCATCCACTGGGACGCATGAAATGTTGGGTATGATGAAGGTACACTCGAGGAAGTGGTGCCCTCTTAGTTCTAGGAGCATCAGGGTTCTGCATAGAGAAGTGTTCTCTACATCGACAGAGGAGAGAAGGTAGAGAAAATAAAATAAATTTCAATCTACAGTAATCCGAAATATCCACTGAATGCGGAAATCTTACCACTCCAACAACTCCTTCTTTTTCCAGACAGATACGCACCCTCATTCAGCAGAAAACTGTTCAGTTCCTTACACAACCGATCTTCATTTGACAGTTCGTCCACGGGTTCCACAGCCATCGATGGCAAACCACTCGACACTCTCTCCTCCATCTCCAAAATGGAAAAATACAGTGTTCCGACATGCTCAACAACTGATACTCTGCACAAAAATCGAAGAGGATGCCCCGTCTCGGATCACGTGACCGTTATTGTGCAAAGGGTCTATTTTCTTATCCATAGTATCAGCTCAGCTGTCGTTTGTCAAGTAAGCTAATTAATATTTTCCCGTCCGTCGCCTTCTGAAATTTGTTTGAAATACAACCATGTAGGCATGATAATTATACTTGACCTAGATTACAAGCAGTGTGTAACAAACTTGTTCACTGTCTAAGTGTGTATCATCAAGAGTTGATAAAGCTTTTAATTTTTGTAGTTCTCAACGATAAGGCCTCACTGCAACATTACAGATCACTGGAAAGACTTACTACGTGGTTGCACTGACCGTGACATAGTTTTGCAGCATTTTAATCATAGCATGATATGGCTGAAGCGGACACGGCGGAAAATAATCAAGAAGCAGTGACACCAACTCTTGATATTGCAGCATTCGTTGCAGACACAGCAGAGCTGCAGCAGAAACTGCGTGTGTTCGGTTTCTTGTGGCTTGCAACAGAATATGTTTTGAGGTAAGTAGATTCGAGAAGTTTCACACTCACAGGAATATTTGGACCTCAGTTCACCAGCTTCATGTGCTGGTACAGTGTAATACAAATTATTAGTACGTGTACTCGTACGTACAGGAAGTTTGGGTGTGCTAAAAAAACTCCCTGGTTGTGCATTGTATGCTCAAGTATAGTACATGTCATGTGTGCTTATTTACATGAATGACCACTCTACTATGTACTATGTACACGTGCATGTACAACAGTGCTGGCCAGGACTGTAGTAAACCTTGCAGTGCAGGTCCTCGTACACGCAGTATCGCTAGTGCTGGCTGCTATATATCAAGAGTACATAAGGTTTGTTTACTCTTTGTACAGTGAAACTTTAGTAGAAAGTACCACCAAGCCTACAAGTCTGTACTTCATAGCTGAGGTAGCTGACACACTGTATATCCGAGGTCAAATGGTTGGTACATTACTGGCCCGTCGCTCCGACTTTGGAGATGGGGCAGCCATGCAAGGGGATCCGGGGTTCTCCCCCGTGAAAAATTTCAAAAATTGAAGCCAATTACAAGCATTTCCGGGCATTTGATGCCATTTCAGTGTAACTACAATGAAAGACTTTTTGATTCTGCAACGAACCAAGAAGACGCTACGATCGGGGACAAGGATTCTCCATTACGCTTCCCCGGGAAAAAATTTCAGAAATTGAAGCCAACTGCAACCATTTCCATTTGGTGCCATTTCAGTGTACCGGTAACTGCAATGAAAGACTTGAATCTGCAACAAACCAAGAAAACGCTACATTTAGGGACAAGGATTCTTCATTATTGGCCACGTTTGCACTGAGCTGCAATCATCGCGCTTTGTTGCAGAGTGGTCCAAAAAAACGCGCGCAAAAATGGGGGCCGCCCCGGCTGCGACGGCCTTGCAGTATGATACTTTATGATACAAGGTCCTCAAAAATAGTACAGTCGACT